ACTCCCAGTAAAGACAAAAATTGTATCCAAAAATACACAACAATATATATATATATATGACAGTTTTTCCATAAAAACAAAAAGAAAAAAAAAAAATAATAATAAATAAAAAATCCAACAAACAATACTCCTCGTGGTTGGTTTCTTCATGTCTGTTACACTGCTTCATCACAAATTTGAGCAATGGCTTCCTATACGTTTTAATTCATGTACGTTTCATGTATCTTCCCTCTGCAGATGTGCTTCCAATAACCTCCACTTTGGCTGACTCGACAATACTGAAGAATAGCAATGAAGGAATAATACGTATAGAGACTAAAGACCTGTGTCGTTAGTTGTCTTTTGTAATGACAAAAAGAATAAAGAAAAGTTAAATAAAAAAAAAAAGATCAGAAACGAAATATACCTTTGTACATAAAATTCATACTAAATAAACATTCTTCACAGAAGATTACCATGCTAGAAAATTGAACCCAGAGTATTGAATTCTATTCTATAAAGCCTCTAAATTCTTCTTCAGTTATTGCAACAAGTGGATTAACACCAGTAATCAACCTGATCTGTGGCAAGATTCACTCTGTAGTGTTATGATTGAATCTCAACATATACTGTCTGTAAAACAAGTGTTTGACTTGAATCCAACCAGCACTCCAAAAACTACTAAGACATTGAATATTTTCTGTTTACAGTCCGTATGATTGTAGTTCAGGAGTATTACATTTGAATCTTTTTATACTCTAATTTTAAGTTATTACACAAATAAATACCTTCAATTTACACTTTCCTCAACTCGACAGCATAAATTTTCAAAATATATTTGAGGTAAGTCACTATATATACACACAGACATTGATATCATGCCAGTTTAATCCTTAATCTGATGAACTCATTGTAATCAATATGCATCTGAATCCAAAAATAACAGACTAAACCCATTCACGACTGGGCAAAAGAAGGGTAATGTTTGGCAAGGCCAGGCTGCGTCACCATATACTGCTCCACACCTGGGCCATTGTTGTCTGGCTCACAAGCTGTCATCCTGGCCAAAATGAAACATGATTTACATGTTAACCGGTGTTTGTGGATTATCATTGCACCCAGCATGAATGGGTTAACCCCTTACTGATGGGTGAAGAAAATAGAATAAAAAACTATGCTCTGGAGATTAATGGCAACGAGCCAACTTTGAGTGCGAGAGTTTGGTACATCAAGCCAAATCACCGGTGTACAGCCACACACCACATTTCGAGCAGTTTGTCTTCATGCCTGTAGCCGTGACTCGTTGGGAAGGTGTTAAGAAGTGGATAGTAGGGTTTGGAAAAGAGAAAGAGGAAAGAAGAAAAGACCATGCAAAATTAGTCAAGTTGAGGGATGAGGTCCAAGGTAAGGATCATCCCCAGCATTAGGCCTCAGTCTCCGTCTCCTAAGCCCCTCTCCATGGCAACAATTAGCCAACTTGTCATACACATTGCTTCTAATAACCAATGAATTACCCTGTGACCCTCAATACCCCTGAGTATATACTCGCAAATTACATATTGGATAATAAGATAAAATACTGAAAAACAAATTTTTTATTACAGCCTCAATACATGAGATTCCTTACACCATATCCTTCAAAAGCATGATCTTCTAAAGTAAAACTTCCGAACTTACAAAATGGCACAAAACTTTGTTAAACATCATTGTCTGGGAACTAATTAAAGAAAAGTTAAATAAAAAAAAAAAAAAGATCAGAAACGAAATATACCTTTGTACATAAAATTCATACTAAATAAACATTCTTCACAGAAGATTACCATGCTAGAAAATTGAACCCAGAGTATTGAATTCTATTCTATAAAGCCTCTAAATTCTTCTTCAGTTATTGCAACAAGTGGATTAACACCAGTAATCAACCTGATCTGTGGCAAGATTCACTCTGTAGTGTTATGATTGAATCTCAACATATACTGTCTGTAAAACAAGTGTTTGACTTGAATCCAACCAGCACTCCAAAAACTACTAAGACATTGAATATTTTCTGTTTACAGTCCGTATGATTGTAGTTCAGGAGTATTACATTTGAATCTTTTTATACTCTAATTTTAAGTTATTACACAAATAAATACCTTCAATTTACACTTTCCTCAACTCGACAGCATAAATTTTCAAAATATATTTGAGGTAAGTCACTATATATACACACAGACATTGATATCATGCCAGTTTAATCCTTAATCTGATGAACTCATTGTAATCAATATGCATCTGAATCCAAAAATAACAGACTTAAACCCATTCAGGGGGGGGGGGGGGGGGGGGGGGGGGGGGGGGGGGGGGGGGGGGGGGGGGGGGGGGGGGGGGGGGGGGGGGGGGGGGGGGGGGGGGGGGGGGGGGGGGGGGGGGGGGGGGGGGGGGGGGGGGGGGGGGGGGGGGGGGGGGGGGGGGGGGGGGGGGGGGGGGGGGGGGGGGGGGGGGGGGGGGGGGGGGGGGGGGGGGGGGGGGGGGGGGGGGGGGGGGGGGGGGGGGGGGGGGGGGGGGGGGGGGGGGGGGGGGGGGGGGGGGGGGGGGGGGGGGGGGGGGGGGGGGGGGGGGGGGGGGGGGGGGGGGGGGGGGGGGGGGGGGGGGGGGGGGGGGGGGGGGGGGGGGGGGGGGGGGGGGGGGGGGGGGGGGGGGGGGGGGGGGGGGGGGGGGGGGGGGGGGGGGGGGGGGGGGGGGGGGGGGGGGGGGGGGGGGGGGGGGGGGGGGGGGGGGGGGGGGGGGGGGGGGGGGGGGGGGGGGGGGGGGGGGGGGGGGGGGGGGGGGGGGGGGGGGGGGGGGGGGGGGGGGGGGGGGGGGGGGGGGGGGGGGGGGGGGGGGGGGGGGGGGGGGGGGGGGGGGGGGGGGGGGGGGGGGGGGGGGGGGGGGGGGGGGGGGGGGGGGGGGGGGGGGGGGGGGGGGGGGGGGGGGGGGGGGGGGGGGGGGGGGGGGGGGGGGGGGGGGGGGGGGGGGGGGGGGGGGGGGGGGGGGGGGGGGGGGGGGGGGGGGGGGGGGGGGGGGGGGGGGGGGGGGGGGGGGGGGGGGGGGGGGGGGGGGGGGGGGGGGGGGGGGGGGGGGGGGGGGGGGGGGGGGGGGGGGGGGGGGGGGGGGGGGGGGGGGGGGGGGGGGGGGGGGGGGGGGGGGGGGGGGGGGGGGGGGGGGGGGGGGGGGGGGGGGGGGGGGGGGGGGGGGGGGGGGGGGGGGGGGGGGGGGGGGGGGGGGGGGGGGGGGGGGGGGGGGGGGGGGGGGGGGGGGGGGGGGGGGGGGGGGGGGGGGGGGGGGGGGGGGGGGGGGGGGGGGGGGGGGGGGGGGGGGGGGGGGGGGGGGGGGGGGGGGGGGGGGGGGGGGGGGGGGGGGGGGGGGGGGGGGGGGGGGGGGGGGGGGGGGGGGGGGGGGGGGGGGGGGGGGGGGGGGGGGGGGGGGGGGGGGGGGGGGGGGGGGGGGGGGGGGGGGGGGGGGGGGGGGGGGGGGGGGGGGGGGGGGGGGGGGGGGGGGGGGGGGGGGGGGGGGGGGGGGGGGGGGGGGGGGGGGGGGGGGGGGGGGGGGGGGGGGGGGGGGGGGGGGGGGGGGGGGGGGGGGGGGGGGGGGGGGGGGGGGGGGGGGGGGGGGGGGGGGGGGGGGGGGGGGGGGGGGGGGGGGGGGGGGGGGGGGGGGGGGGGGGGGGGGGGGGGGGGGGGGGGGGGGGGGGGGGGGGGGGGGGGGGGGGGGGGGGGGGGGGGGGGGGGGGGGGGGGGGGGGGGGGGGGGGGGGGGGGGGGGGGGGGGGGGGGGGGGGGGGGGGGGGGGGGGGGGGGGGGGGGGGGGGGGGGGGGGGGGGGGGGGGGGGGGGGGGGGGGGGGGGGGGGGGGGGGGGGGGGGGGGGGGGGGGGGGGGGGGGGGGGGGGGGGGGGGGGGGGGGGGGGGGGGGGGGGGGGGGGGGGGGGGGGGGGGGGGGGGGGGGGGGGGGGGGGGGGGGGGGGGGGGGGGGGGGGGGGGGGGGGGGGGGGGGGGGGGGGGGGGGGGGGGGGGGGGGGGGGGGGGGGGGGGGGGGGGGGGGGGGGGGGGGGGGAGACCTTTACTATCAAAGTCAACACTAAAACAAGTCTAAGCATTTTTTTTTTTTTTTCCATATAGTTTATCACACTTTCTCCAATAACAATTTAGCATAACTGTAATCAGGCTACATAAATGACCTTGCAACCCAGACAGGGACTGGTTTCAGCCTAGTGACATGAAGGCTTAACTATTAAAACAAATGAAAATACAGTTAATTGCAGATAGGGCGCAACCATAAGGCAATGTAGTTGCACCTAGAGAGTCATTGGCAAGATAGTATTGAGCACTAAATATAAAATACACAAACTCAGTCACAAAATTAATTATCTACAGTCAGTACCTATTTTCTGATTATATGGCACATGAAACTATCAACAGGCATGACTTCTTATCCTCAAGAAGAAATTAAAATAGCTGTTGCATACCTGGGCAGTTCTATGTTGAAATGATTAAAAACCTCATTTTGAAAGCCAAGGTGTGAATACATATAATGTGCCATAACATGTCTATCATAAAAAAGAAACAGCCTAATATACATGAAAGCTTTTCAAAGAGTAGAGTAGTGAGAACAAAATAAACATCAGTAACTATAAAATAGATATTATTTAGTGTGGAGAGTCTTGAAGACTGCAAAGCTACATCTTCTTTACCTACAAACCACATATAATCATCTTTCCTATACAAAAGAAAAAGAAAGAAAAAGAAAAAGAAAAAAAAATCAAATATAACATCTGCCTCTATTTATTTGTACTACTGCATATCTGAAAATATACATATCAAGGTTTGCAACTCTATTACGACACCTACATAAATATTTTAGATAGAAGTGCTCTAAGATCTAAAAGAATATTTAATATCAAGTTAAATGAGAATTCACAGATAAACTTTGCATACGATGCTGAGAAAATTACTAACAAATCACTAACTAAAGCAGGAGCCATACTTAAGGGTCAAAATGGGACTTGGAAAAAAAAAAAAAAAATCATATAGACCTATTCCCTCCTCACCTTACAGAAAATAAAAGGCAATGACTAATAAAGCACATATTGTCAGGAACTGTGAAGTATTGAGGAATCAACACTGTCCAATAATCACAGCACTAGAGGGAGGACACCAATGAAAGGAGCGGGCAAGGCTTGCCACTTGCAAATCTTCAATGGTACTCACTTGATGAGAAGTGAGCCTAGGAATCAGTCTTGTCCCAAGAAATTGCCAAAGAAAATATCAAATGTACCACAAGATACCTCATGAGAATAATGTCTATGTACAAGCTTCTTGCTAGAAAGTAAAGAATAGTAATCTAAAGAACTATAACTACACACACAAAATTTAAACTTCTTTGCGTAAAAAAAAGAAAAGAAGAAGAAGAAAGAAAAGGAAAACACGCACACACACACACACACAAGAGACAACTGCCCTTCACTTTTTCAAACATTTCCTAATCAAAACAATACTAAGTTTTTTGTTGCAGATGTTAGTCAATTTAGGATCCACACAATGGAAAACCTTCCTTAATTTTTTTTTTTTTTTTTGTAAAACAGAAAAATATTCATGATAACACCCTTTGACATTCCATCTATTTTCCCAATACAATAAAACCAGCAACATGAATCGCATCCATTATTAATATGTACTAATATAACTACCTATCAGACATACTGTCTCAAAGGAAATGAGTTTCCACAGCTAACCTCTGTGTATCTAATTAAGGAAGAACCTTGGCAGTGTTGGTTTGGGAAAGCAAATAAGCTGTTCTTTACCAATTACTTTAAATATAACCTAAAAAGAAGAAAACCAGTACTAGCTGATATCCTTCAATTTTTCACCATCTTTATTCCAGGGACAGACATGCTAAAACTGCAACCCTGAAGCATTACTGTCTCCAAGTCAGATCGTCACATATCACGGAAGGGGCTTGGTGTTATGGTTGAAATGTTTTATCAACATTTTTCCTCCACCTTATGATAACCCCAAGCTAGGGCAAACACAGTATCATTCAATTACTGGTTACTATATTATAAAAATACTATTGTAGATTAGTGGCCATTACTGTGTTCATATGGAGCCAGATCTAATCTAATATTGCATAATCTAATATTGTATAATAATATATATATCTATATATCCATCTTTCTTTTGTTTCTCTCTCTGTCCTATATACAATATATATCTATATATATATCAAAACACAAAACATCAAAATATAAATCTTCATTTGCAAAGAACTAAAATTTCACATCTTTCATGATTTGATGAGATAAAATGCCTATACCCAATCCATATACAAAATGTGCTTATCATTTACTTTAAGGCTTTTATTTTTACAATTTTCACATCAAACAGCAAATGAAAAAGAACATGCAACGTTCCCTGAAGTATTATCAGAGTAATGGAAAGATTATCTTTATATATGAGATTTGTTCAATTGATCAAATGCAAGCTGCATCCTTCCTTCTTATCCCCATAAATAAAGTAAATTTTCAGTTATTTTCTCCATAGACTTTCTTCTATCCTGTAAAACTAACACATATGATGACATTCAAAAATTAACACATAACCAATGCCAAAACTCTGTCAGGCATATCCAGCACCATGTATTATAAGCAAGCAAAGGAAAACAAAACACACGCACACAAAGAGAAAACACATACATCCTCAGGTTCTTGCACACAGAAACTCACACAGTTATTGAAACTGCCATAAACACTATGTACTGTTAGCACCATATGAAGCAAATTATATCTGACTCCATGTGACCCTCTGACCCAATGCTAGAGGTTGAGGATATGCAATTAGTGCAATTAATCAAAAGTAATGCATTATATATCCCCTGGCGGCTCCTGCTCCTTAAATTGTGTGCTCAAGAAGTTTACTGAATGCACTGTTGAAGAAGCTCATTAAAGTTACCTTCATTATATATTTTTTTAATATCGTTACTAACAATGCTAAATCAGAATACTATATTTTCTCTCAACCCAAAAAAGCCTAAAAAAAAATGCAGGAGGTATTAATGGGCCTCCTGCAAAAATCCTTCCTTAATTTTCCCACAAGAACCTGCGACTGTTTCACCACCAGCACAGGCACACAACCCTCTTTCATAACTTGGTTGAACGGGATTTTGAGTCAGAGGAGCTTGATTTGGGGGTGTTGCAAGATGCAGTGGGCTCTTCGGGATTGACTGGCAGGCCCTGAGAATGGCGGTACTGCACCACATTACGCCAGATGCGCAATTCCACTCCCCCTCTGCCAAGGGTGGAAATCAGTGAGAAAAAGCTTTTTTTGGGTCTGGCTAAGAAAAAAATATACGTTTGGTAGTTCTGTCAAACTAACCATAGAAAGCCTGACTACACTGAAAATTTTCTTACTTTGAATTGCAAAATATCAGAGATTTATTATGTATAAAAGAAAAAGAACTTCCAAGGCATTTTCTTAGTATCCTACTTTCCTCAACAATTTCTAAATTTCAAACCAGAAAATTTTCTCACCTCATCTGCATTCTCCTGAGGTCATCTCTAGTCATCCAGAGAAGAACATCATCTTTGGTATAGTCCTCAGCTAGAAACTGAAAATGAGAGCAATTTCAAGTTTGGAATCTAAAATCAGAGACCATAAATGAAAATGTGAGTGTGTTAATATATGTATGTGTGTGTGTGTGTGTGTGTGTGTGTGTGTGTGTGTGTGTGTGTGTGTGTGTGTGTGTGTGTGTGTGTCCTTGTGTGTGTGTGTCCTTGTGTGTGTGTGTCCTTGTGTGTGTGTGTCCTTGTGTGTGTGTGTCCTTGTGTGTGTGTGTCCTTGTGTGTGTGTCCTTGTGTGTGTGTCCTTGTGTGTGTGCCCTTGCGTGTGTGTCCTTGTGTGTGTGCTTGTGTGTGTGTCCTTGCATGTGTGTCCCAGTATGTATGTGTTCCTATAGGGGTGTGTCACGATAGGTGTGTGTGTTGCTGTATGTGAGTGTGTCACTGTATGTGATTGCATCACTATGTGTGTGTATATGTCTGTGTGAGTGTCATACATGTGTGAATATGCATGCATGTGTATACACATGTGTGGGCCCAGATTAGAAATGGTTCAGTTAATAAAAAAATAAAATTAGACTATATTCTGTTGATGCAACCAATTTTCAATTCATAAGACCTGTTAAGATGTTAATTTTCAATAGATATGAGTCTATTGAAGTTCTGTACCTTTTTATATTCTCTCTGAAATGGTAGTGTATTGGCAATGCAATGAAGTGATGGGAACTTTTAAGAAGATTTTTCCATTTTGGCATAGTTTTCATTAAAACTGCAAACTGTCTACACACATCCCTTCATGAGTATTCAAAATAAATGAATGCTATGAATGGATTGTTATTTCACCCTGACATCACCATCTCAGAGAGGTTGACATCGACTCAAGTCACATGCTGGATGAGAGTAAAAGTTGGCATTGTCTCCTCCGAGATGGTGTTGGCAAATGAAATAACATGCCATTCTTGGTGTTCATCTGTTCAGACCACCTGTGAAATGAGGTGTATATATGCTTGCATACAGAATCCAAGCAAACTGTGAATCATAGGAACATTTTGTCATAGAATTCTTTCTGTATGCAAACATTTCCAAAGGAGGATATATGGGAAAAAAAGTTCCTTTATAGAGGTATTGCTTCCTGATTTGGTACCCTTAAAACTTAGTGTTTAGAAAACATATAATAATAAATAACATGGAATTTAAAAATGCAAGAAAATTGATAGAATATTCTTCTACAAAATATATATACTTCATTTTTCCCTTTCAAACTCAGAACATGCCAGTGTTTGTGTGTGTGTGTATTAAGCAATTCTGACATGATTTCCCTGCACCATACCAAGCCATACTAATGGCATGGGCAATACATATTTGGCCTAGTCTCTACATTTTTGGCTGTGGCATAAATGAGCTATGAAGAAATAAAGCTAAAAAGACTAAGTCCACATTTAACCCAATGCCGACAAGCATGACGTGTACGTACATGCTATGCCCACTGTGAGTACTTGTTTGATTGTTTTTACACACAGATGGCTACATTTGTACTAAGTCACCAATGAGCCAGTTCTGAGTACTGCCTGTCTCGCCCCTTTACCCTTTTCTTTGATTTACGAAAATATTTTACGTTATCTTATTCTGCTGTTACAAATGTTTATAACATTATAGTAATAATAATGTTTATAATAAAAACAACGCCATCAATATTCAAAGCACTAGTAAAAAATATATTTTTCCCGCCAACACAACTCACGTAAGGTTACAAGTTCTACTAATCGACTCCTTTGTGGCTAAGCACTAGCAGAGCCATCTATGTGTAGACACATTTCACAAAAATATAGAAAATGAGCACATCATACTCCTCCTTTTTTATTCATTTTCCCTGGTGGCACTGGGTTAAGGGACTGAGATACCACAATGACTGCAATGACTATGATTAGATGTCATCTGAGAAAGGTAAATTATAGAAGGAGGTTCATATCACAATTCATTCTATCTAAGGGTCTTTAAAATCTTATTTTTAACAGCACAATTAATTTTTTTTTTTTTATAATTACCCTACTATGAAATGTTAGTTTTACGTTTGTCATATCTATACTTATTTTGTTTTTCATTTGTTCATTTTTTAAAAAATTTATAGACTGAAAGAACTTAAGAACATTAACCCAAGTCAGACAGATCACATGTACCAGTGTCATAACAAACCACTTGGTCTACGGGGTATGCCTGTACACACGGCGACGCGCCAGAGCATGTGGAGCAGGAAGTTCCACTTGATGTGGCAGACTCCCGCGCCCAGTGTCTGGCTGTTGCCAGAAATCACCAGAGTTTATCATGCTCAGAGATTTCTGTTACCCGGCAGTGATGGGTTAAATGTTAGGATGTAGGGATCAGGGATAACTTATCAATCAATTCGCAAAATACGCATATATGAGTGTGTCACTGTTTTGAACATTTAAGTCTTATCATCTGTCCACTTGATTCAAATCATCATTGCCCTTATCCTACATAAAGATCTTTTCTTAACTATTCTAAACAAAAATTCTAAATAAATTGACAGATATGTTGCAATATCATGATCATCAATACTTCATGCATTAACAGAATCCTTGCTTCTCCTTCAAAATTTGTACCTTGATTCATACCTTCATTTCACTGATCAGAATGGAGAGAACTACATTTTGATACCTGACTGGGAATACATTTTTTTCTACTGTCTACTCTTTATGCCAAGTACTGCACACTATATTCATATTCTTCAGAATCTGAAACATCACTACATATGGTAATTCAGGAAATCAGAACTGAACAATAAATGGGTGAATCCGACACCGAATACGTCAACATTCAGATAAGGTTTTCAGCAACTTGGTCTACATACCTTATCGATAACATCACGATCAATTGACAGTGCCTGAAGCCAAGCAACCAACTCCATATCGATGTTGCGAGAGGACACGTGGATCATGGGGGGTTCGTGAGGATTGTGGGCAAACGATGGGGAGGCAGCATCCTCAGGAATACTCTGGTGGGGGGAGAGGGTTATGGGTAAGGAGAGTAATAAAAAACACCAGACACAAACATCAAACTACAGAAACTAGTGCATGACACAGATATGGAAAAATTGAAAAAAAAAGTCACAGATTCATTGAGGCTTTGGTATGAAAAAAAGAAAAACGAATTAAATTTATAAATTGCAAAAATAAAATGCACTTGTGACAAACACAGCAATGGAGATAATACTCTTTCCAAGTATTTATCAAGCTTTCCAATGTCTATCTAGGGGCACCAATTGAACATTAACAGCTTTCTGATCAAACACAATCAGAAAGAATAACAAAAGTCAAATACTGACATACCATGTAAAACATGTACCACTTCAGACAGCACGATAATAATAAGAAAGTAACTAACATACGTAACAATGCAGGAATACTGTGTGGCAACATTAAAAAGCAAAATATTACATATCATGTCTTCATACCAATTAGAGAGTAAGAGAAAAAAGAGCTCAATAATGTGCTAAAAATGTATAGACACAGACACAGACACAGACACAGACACAGACACAGACACAGACACAGACACAGACACAGACACAGACACAGACACAGACACAGACACAGACACAGACACAGACACAGACACAGACACAGACACAGACACAGACACAGACACAGACACAGACACAGACACAGACACAGACACAGACACAGACACAGACACAGACACAGACACAGACACAGACACAGACACAGACACAGACACAGACACAGACACAGACACAGACACAGACACAGACACAGACACAGACACAGACACAGACACAGACACAGACACAGACACAGACACAGACACAGACACAGACACAGACACAGACACAGACACAGACACAGACACAGACACAGACACAGACACAGACACAGACACAGACACAGACACAGACACAGACACAGACACAGACACAGACACAGACACAGACACAGACACAGACACAGACACAGACACAGACACAGACACAGACACAGACACAGACACAGACACAGACACAGACACAGACACAGACACAGACACAGACACAGACACAGACACAGACACAGACACAGACACAGACACAGACACAGACACAGACACAGACACAGACACAGACACAGACACAGACACAGACACAGACACAGACACAGACACAGACACAGACACAGACACAGACACAGACACAGACACAGACACAGACACAGACACAGACACAGACACAGACACAGACACAGACACAGACACAGACACAGACACAGACACAGACACAGACACAGACACAGACACAGACACAGACACAGACACAGACACAGACACAGACACAGACACAGACACAGACACAGACACAGACACAGACACAGACACAGACACAGACACAGACACAGACACAGACACAGACACAGACACAGACACAGACACAGACACAGACACAGACACAGACACAGACACAGACACAGACACAGACACAGACACAGACACAGACACAGACACAGACACAGACACAGACACAGACACAGACACAGACACAGACACAGACACAGACACAGACACAGACACAGACACAGACACAGACACAGACACAGACACAGACACAGACACAGACACAGACACAGACACAGACACAGACACAGACACAGACACAGACACAGACACAGACACAGACACAGACACAGACACAGACACAGACACAGACACAGACACAGACACAGACACAGACACAGACACAGACACAGACACAGACACAGACACAGACACAGACACAGACACAGACACAGACACAGACACAGACACAGACACAGACACAGACACAGACACAGACACAGACACAGACACAGACACAGACACAGACACAGACACAGACACAGACACAGACACAGACACAGACACAGACACAGACACAGACACAGACACAGACACAGACACAGACACAGACACAGACACAGACACAGACACAGACACAGACACAGACACAGACACAGACACAGACACAGACACAGACACAGACACAGACACAGACACAGACACAGACACAGACACAGACACAGACACAGACACAGACACAGACACAGACACAGACACAGACACAGACACAGACACAGACACAGACACAGACACAGACACAGACACAGACACAGACACAGACACAGACACAGACACAGACACAGACACAGACACAGACACAGACACAGACACAGACACAGACACAGACACAGACACAGACACAGACACAGACACAGACACAGACACAGACACAGACACAGACACAGACACAGACACAGACACAGACACAGACACAGACACAGACACAGACACAGACACAGACACAGACACAGACACAGACACAGACACAGACACAGACACAGACACAGACACAGACACAGACACAGACACAGACACAGACACAGACACAGACACAGACACAGACACAGACACAGACACAGACACAGACACAGACACAGACACAGACACAGACACAGACACAGACACAGACACAGACACAGACACAGACACAGACACAGACACAGACACAGACACAGACACAGACACAGACACAGACACAGACACAGACACAGACACAGACACAGACACAGACACACTCTCACTCACCTCTCCAGTCACCGTCTCAGCACTTGATTGGGACCCCATGGTACCAGCAGGCGATTGTGCTAAAAATGTATTTGCCCTATTTGCCTGTGACAAAACCACTCAGCAATAACAGCCTTCCTGGATTCAACCAGAAAAGATACTCCTGGTCATGGAGTTGAATATCAAATATTGTCTTCAAATATTACATGATTAACCCCTTCCCGATGGGTCACGCCTATAGGTGTGAAAACAAACCGCTCAAAGTGTGGCGTGTGGCTGCATGCCACGGCAGCGTGCCAAAGTGTGGTGAGCCGGTGATTCGGCCTGATGTACTGAACTCCCACACTCAAAGTCAGTGCGATTCCATTGATCGCCTGAGCGTAGAGTTTTTTTTTGTTTTCTTTTTTTTTTAAGTTTTCTTAACCCGTCACCAAGGGGTTAATCGAGGGGTTACCATTTAGGGCTAACCATTTGACATTTCCCTAAATTGAACTCAGGGCATAAACACTTTGGATAAGGATCTTATTTATATTTCTGAACCAGAGAAGAAATGCAAGAGAAAAAGGAAAGAATGGATAAAAAAGAGAAGGAATAAAATAATAAAGAAGATATGGAAGGAAAGGAGAGAGCATCAAAACTAAGGAAGATGAATACCATGAACAATGGATAGAATCTTACACAAGTCCTATACAATGAATGATTATGTATTTATATGTATTTTTTTCCTTCTAGATGGTTGTTTCTTGTCATATAATGTACATAGAAAACAAGAGGATAAGAGATAAAGCTCAGTATAGCCCATAATGCCACTTACAATAATATTCAGTCAAAGCCAAAAAAAAAAAAAAAAAAAAAAAAAAAAAAAAAAAAAAAAAAAAAAAAAAAAAAAAAAAAAAAAAAAAAAAAAAAAAAAAAAAAAAAAAAAAAAAAAAAAAAAAAAAAAAAAAAAAAAAAAAAAAAAAAAAAAAAAAAAAAAAAAAAAAAAAAAAAAAAAAAAAAAAAAAAAAAAAAAAAAAAAAAAAAAAAAAAAAAAAAAAAAAAAAAAAAAAAAAAAAAAAAAAAAAAAAAAAAAAAAAAAAAAAAAAAAAAAAAAAAAAAAAAAAAAAAAAAAAAAAAAAAAAAAAAAAAAAAAAAAAAAAAAAAAAAAAAAAAAAAAAAAAAAAAAAAAAAAAAAAAAAAAAAAAAAAAAAAAAAAAAAAAAAAAAAAAAAAAAAAAAAAAAAAAAAAAAAAAAAAAAAAAAAAAAAAAAAAAAAAAAAAAAAAAAAAAAAAAAAAAAAAAAAAAAAAAAAAAAAAAAAAAAAAAAAAAAAAAAAAAAAAAAAAAAAAAAAAAAAAAAAAAAAAAAAAAAAAAAAAAAAAAAAAAAAAAAAAAAAAAAAAAAAAAAAAAAAAAAAAAAAAAAAAAAAAAAAAAAAAAAAAAAAAAAAAAAAAAAAAAAAAAAAAAAAAAAAAAAAAAAAAAAAAAAAAAAAAAAAAAAAAAAAAAAAAAAAAAAAAAAAAAAAAAAAAAAAAAAAAAAAAAAAAAAAAAAAAAAAAAAAAAAAAAAAAAAAAAAAAAAAAAAAAAAAAAAAAAAAAAAAAAAAAAAAAAAAAAAAAAAAAAAAAAAAAAAAAAAAAAAAAAAAAAAAAAAAAAAAAAAAAAAAAAAAAAAAAAAAAAAAAAAAAAAAAAAAAAAAAAAAAAAAAAAAAAAAAAAAAAAAAAAAAAAAAAAAAAAAAAAAAAAAAAAAAAAAAAAAAAAAAAAAAAAAAAAAAAAAAAAAAAAAAAAAAAAAAAAAAAAAAAAAAAAAAAAAAAAAAAAAAAAAAAAAAAAAAAAAAAAAAAAAAAAAAAAAACTCTCTCTCTCTCTCTCTCTCTCTCTCTCTCTCTCTCTCTCTCTCTCTCTCTCTCTCTCTCTCTCTCTCTCTCTCTCTCTCTCTCTCTCTCTCTCTCTCTCTCTCTCTCTCTCTCTCTCTCTCTCTCTCTCTCTCTCTCTCTCTCTCTCTCTCTCTCTCTCTCTCTCTCTCTCTCTCTCTCTCTCTCTCTCTCCCTCTCCTCTCATTCTCACTCTCACCAAGCAATCTACAGCTTTTCACAAACCTGAGATTCTCCGCCCTGGCTGCTTGGAACTTCTCCTGCAGCTGGTGGCACTGCTTTGAGTGGTGGAAGTCATGTAGCAGCTTGGCTGACTTAGTAGAGTTGATGGTGGAAACACCTGAAGTGCTGCCTTCCTCAACGGCATCCCGTGGTCTCCCAGGGCTCCCCCCCAACACGCCAATGTTCTCATCTGGGGAACCTAGTAGGCTCTCATGGTCTGAAATAATTTGCCAAAACAATAAACTGAGTGAATATGTCTGTCAAGAGAGATACCATTCATTTTATCCAAAGAAAAAAAAAAAAAAAAAACAAATAAAGACAATATAGAAAAATAAACACAAAATAAATCTTTATTTTAAAATATCACACAGACACACTTACAAACAAAATTTCTCCAGGCAGCTCCTCTCTCTCCCTCTCCCTCTCCTCTCATTCTCACTCTCACCAAGCAATCCACAGCTTTTCACAAACCTGAGATTCTCCGCCCTGGCTGCTTGGAACTTCTCCTGCAGCTGGTGGCACTGCTTTGAGTGGTGGAAGTCATGTAGCAGCTTGGCTGACTTAGTAGAGTTGATGGTGGAAACACCTGAAGTGCTGCCTTCCTCAACGGCATCCCGTGGTCTCCCAGGGCTCCCCCCCAACACGCCAATGTTCTCATCTGGGGAACCTAGTAGGCTCTCATGGTCTGAAATAATTTGCCAAAACAATAAACTGAGTGAATATGTCTGTCAAGAGAGATACCATTCATTTTATCCAAAGAAAAAGAAAAAATTAGTTTACTTTCTAGCAGAACAACATTATCTTCTAAAACATAGTTGTAAGTTTTATTACCAGAATACTTTATATGTACCTGTAGTTTCTGAAGTAATGACGTTATATTTTCTTCTGGTACATAAACCATTGTAACTAATTTAAAAATTATTGGCATTGCCTAGGAAGTTTACTTTCTAATTATATTCTTATTCAACAGATTTTCTGGCAATATCAAAAAAAGGATAGTATTTTCATAAATCAAATTATATCTGTATCTGGTGCATTACTTTCCAACAATAAAAAAAGAGGATCATTCTATGACAAAATGAAAAAAAAGTTTCCTCACCTGGAGAGAGAACAGTGATGGCACAGTGAACAGAGCTCCTCACAAGATTGTCAAGGGCAAACATCCAGTGAGGTTTTATGCTGTGACTCTTTAAAACCTCATTCACCTAAAGAAAGTGGTTAAAAGAGAGAAAATACTTATTTTCCTTGAAATCTGGTGGTGACAGAGTGAAGGACTTCAGAGATGAAGATGGAGATAAACAAAGCAGTATCACTGAATTATCTCTGAATGCTACAGAAGGAAATCAAACAACTAGTAAACAATAAAATAACAAGAAATAAACATCAATAACACTCACAGCATCTTGGAAAGTGTAAAGCGCTAAATGTATCTGATTCACCGTCTCCTCAAATTCGGTCTCATTCTTGAGGGCTGCAAAAGCTTGCTCTATGGCTAATCTCTTCTGCTCCGGGATGTACTCGCGCAGGCCAACCATTATGACCACCAACTGGTCCTGTCGAGATAAAAGCACAGCACATTGTGAATCTTATAGAGGCAAAATAACCCCTCAAAAAATACAAAATATTGCTATTGATGACCCTAAAGTGACATAAGGGTGAGACCTACCTGAGTGAGTAACAACTTGGCACTGCCTAGTTCCTGCTGCAGACGCTGGAACCAAATTTGAACAATTTTCTGTTGATCATGAACCAACACTTTGGTGAGAGTTGTCCGTCGTTGAGAATCTTTTTTCAGAAGGTAGAATCCATCCTGCTCCTGTGGATAATTGGGCAACTTTACCACTAACCCTTTCTCTCCCTCTCACATGCACAAACATAAAAAAATGAAACTATGTTCTACTTTCATAAAAAGGGAATACATCTACTACTCTTGACTTGCCGGCACACAATTCCTACACTTAACATTCTGAATTTTACTGAAACTGATAATGAACACCTTTATTTAGTCTTAAAGATTGTACTAAACATCTATATACATTATGGCACGACATCAAGATCAAATTCTTTGATATAAACATCAAAATAAAAGATTCTTGTAACAGATTCAATAATTATGCTTAATAATTTACAGTAAGGCCAGAAGAACAGAACCATGCTTGACACATAAATTTATCGTAACAGAAATATGCTTCACATGTAATAAAATGTAAACTGTAAATATGACAAATATTTATTTTATTTTCTATCAATACTGTGTTTCTCGAAACTCTGTAATGAACCTCTGTTGACAATGATTGTTCTCTGGTTTGTAAAAACAGCATAACAGCAAACAACATCACGAGCATCCTCATGAGGTGTCCACGCATCTACTCACCCCATCCGTCCTTGGTGACTCCACATCGGGCGAGAGAAGACCACTGCTTGAGGAACGTCGGGTCATGAGAGCATCGTCGAGATCAGAACCAGTCATAACTGAGCTGTTCGTGAAAATGGTAATGCTTTCACAAACAACTTTTTGGTAATTGGTTTTCAACTGAATAAGGCTACGTGAAGTTAATTACAAATCAAGTGAATTGCAGTAGTTCAGCCAAGACTGAAAAATTGTTTGAGTACAGCAATCTGAATATGAGATCATAAGGAACTCTTAAAAAGAATAACACAGTATTTCCTTGATTATAAGCTTGGAATAGTACAGCCTTTGTTCTTATAAATGAAGTAAATATAATATCAACCTGAAGATCATGGATTTAAATAGTAACGAGAAGAGTAGTCATCAGAATAGCAATTTAACAGATTGTGAATTCCTCCAGGCAGATATACAGACATTACTAAATAAAATTATCTAAAAAAAAAAAACATCATTTCATAAGTACTTAATTTTTTTTTCATATCTGAGGAAACTATTGGTATTCAAAATTGATGAAACTTATTAAATATTTCAGTGCATTTCCAGTACAATTCAATAGTAATTATGTCCGATATCTTAAGACCTATAAAAACAGAGGCTTATATCCAAGATATACTGTTCATCGATGCTGTCAAAACTAAAATTCATAGTGGAAAATCTAAACCAAATGCAGTAAGAAGTCAGTGTCATAAACATTTCAAATCTATCAATGCTGTTTACTACAATAACATGCAGGTCCTATCTTTTATTAGCAATCAGTTACTCTATGCTATCAAAACTGAAACCTCACACTATACATTATTTTTAGCTCAAATCTAGGCATCTACTTCTATTGTGAAAAAAAAAGAAAAAGAAAAAAAAGAATACATATGCATCATATAACACTACAAAAAATAAGACCACACCAATAACTATGAATCATGTATATATTATAAGAAGCATTTATGCAATGCTCATGAAGCTTTGGGAATCACTTTTATTACACTTCAAATAGAGTGAAGCCACAATATTTTAAAAGTCAATAAATGAATAAATTACATCTTTATACTAAAATTATCAATCGAGCAGAAACACAAATCAAAGCTAATTTGGAATGCATTATATCTCGTCAAATCAAATAAAAGCATATAGACAATACAAGTGCACACACAAACATAGACTTTACTTAGGGGGAGGGGAGAAAAAAATAAAATAAAATAAAATAAAAAAAAATAAAAAAAAAATAAATCACTTACACTAGTATATCAACCAAAACTGAATCAAGTTTTAATGATATAAAACAAGTGCAGAAAAAGTGAGCCTGTGGATTGTTTACCTGGTGTATGAGAGAGATGAGAGGTAGGAGGAGGGGGAGGCTGGGGAGACACTGGGACTGCCAGCTGTGTTGCAACGGGAGCCATACCCATACCCGAACTCTAGGCTACAACACAGAGAGGCGGCTATCACACACATGCCAAGGGTACAGTGTGGTGGTTGAGAAGGCTAAATGTAGGAGATCATTTTCTTTTTAAGTTTTGAGGGCAGAAGGGCAGAGCAAAAAGCTGCAGAACTCAGAATGAGGGTAGACTTAGAGAGATGAAAAAAACAAAACAAAAAAAAAAAACGCCTGGTGAGTGATCGAAGGGAAGGGTGGGGGGGTTAGGAGTCGCAGTTTTATATTCACTTAATGTTAATCTTAAAATGAATCATTAAGGCTGAAAATTAACAGGAGAAAGTGGTAAGTGTATTTAAAAAAGCTTAGCCCCTTAAGTGTGCCTTGTGAAGGACAAAATTAACATTAAAAAAGTACTCATGTTTATTTCATCGAAGAAAAGGTTATGTCAAAAAGTGAATAGAGTGCAACTGATTAGGAAAGGAGCTTATTGTAAGGCACAGCAACAGAAAAAATTAGAACCTATTCTATTTGATGGAAATTTTCCTATTTCTTTGTAATTGTCTTAATAATGATATAACCACAATAAAATACAATGGAGGGTTAATCCTTCAGTAGTGGAGATAATAAATTAATATTGTATTCCATTACCCAATCTCTGCCTCATCTTGAATAAATATTAAACAACATAATTAATATATTAAATTCCTTTTCAACCCAAGAATCCTCACTCTTTGAGAAGGAAATCTTTTAAATTCCACATTGTACCACAGAAAACACTAAGCAGTCTTATAAAATGCTTCCCTCACAAAGATTAGAATCATAAATACAAGGAGAGATATCAGAATGCATGGTGCTAAGAATCTAGAGCCGTAACATTACTATATATATATATATATATATATATATATATATATATATATATATATATATATATATATATATATATATATATATATATATATATAATATATATATATATATATATAATATATATATATATATAAGTATATATATATATATATATATATATATATATATATATATATATATATATATATATATATATATATATATATATATAAGTATATATATATATATATATATATAAGTATATATATATATATATATAAAAGTATATATATATATATATAAGTATATATATATATATATAAGTATATATATATATATATATAAGTATATATATATATATATAAGTATATATATATATATATATATAAGTATATATATATATATATATATATATATATAAGTATATATATATATAAGTATATATATATAAGTATATATATATATATATATAAGTATATATATATATATATATATATATATATATATATATATATATATATATATATATATATATATATATATATATATATATATAAGTATATATATATATAAGTATATATATATATAAGTATATATATATATATATAAGTATATATATATATATATATATATATATATATATATATATATATATATATATATATATATATATATATATATAAGTATATATATATGTATATATACATATATATATATATATATATATATATATATATATATATATATATATATATATATATATATATATATATATATATATATATATATAAGTATATATATATGTATGTATACATATATATGTATATATATATATATATATATATATATATATATATATATATATATATATAAGTATATATATATGTATATATACATATATATATATATATATATATATATATATAGAGAGAGAGAGAGAGAGAGAGAGAGAGAGAGAGAGAGAGAGAGAGAGAGAGAGAGAGAGAGAGAGAGAGAGAGAGAGAGAGAGAGAGAGAGAGAGAGAATGTAAAATATATATATATATATATATATATATATATATATATATATATATATATATATATATATATATATATATATATATATATATATATATAAAGAGAGAAAGAGAGAAAGAGAGAAGAGAGGGAGAGAGGGAGAGGAGAGAGAGAGAGAGAGAGAGAGAGAGAGAGAGAGAGAGAGAGAGAGAGAGAGAGAGAGAGAGAGAGAGAGAGAGAGAGAGAGAGAGAGAGAGAAGAGAGAGAAGAGAGAGAAGAGAGAGAAGAGAGAGAAGAGAGAGAAGAGAGAGAAGAGAGAGAAGAGAGAGAAGAGAGAGAAGAGAGAGAAGAGAGAGAAGAGAGAGAAGAGAGAGAAGAGAGAGAAGAGAGAGAAGAGAGAGAAGAGAGAGAAGAGAGAGAAGAGAGAGAAGAGAGAGAAGAGAGAGAAGAGAGAGAAGAGAGAGAAGAGAGAGAAGAGAGAGAAGAGAGAGAAGAGAGAGAAGAGAGAGAAGAGAATGAGAATGAGAGAATGAGAGAATGAGAGAAAGAAAGAAAGAAAGAAAGAAAGAAAGAAAGAAAGAGAGATAGCATCATATAGCTATATCATCACTGCTTTATTACACTATTTCATCACATCCAAGCAGCAAATCCTGTCTCTAAATCAATACCACTTCTGTACCTCTACCACAGCATGTCCCTCCTTTCTTTTAATTATTACATCCACTTTCTGGTGATCTACATATTCGTATATACACTGTTTGTAACATGTAATATAATATCTAAAAAAAATATATTGTGGAAGAACTAGAAAAAGTGTGTAATTCTAAAATAAATATTGACAAGAGAATTGTGAAAGAAGAGAGAATCTAAAAAAATATGTAAAATAAAATAACATCATGCATATTCACATTACAACAAGCTAGCCAAGCTTTTTCTTTTCAGCAGCCACTATAACAGGCAAGGAATCTTACGATATATATATATATAATCACTCAAAATCTTGGTCAAAAGGCCATTTCAGCTATTCATCTCCTTTTACAGTCATGGTGATAAGAAAAAAGAAAAAAAAAAATCATGCAGTCATATTTACTGGGTCACATCTGTCTCACTGTCCTTAAGTTTAAGAGCACCACCTTATATCTTTATATCTGAGCCTCAAAGAGACAGATAAGAAAAAAACATTTACAATGGAGCAACATAACTATCCTCATATCATTGTTCAGGTATCTTGTCACTGAATTTATCATGCATTTTATATATATCTAAAGGCAGGCATAATTCAATCCTAAAATCGAAAGACATGATCAAAATTACTCTTCCATCAATTTAAGTTAAGGAAATCAAGTGTGGTAAAAAAAAGAAAAGTAATTAATGACAGCTAATCATTCCATCTGTATCAATTTACCCTGAAGAAGAAAATTAAAAAAAGAAGCAATAATTTTTTTTTTAAAAGAAAGGAAGGGTGTGGTTAAACTCCAACGTATATCAATTCTGCGAAAATACTTGCCCATCGTCAGGAGAGCTGGCCAGACGGCATTTATCCCCATGCTGCCGGATGCTGCGGTCTGCTGGGACAGACACGCTGCGAGAGAATTCCTGCTGGTTTGTCAGCCGCATGCCTTTCTTCTTCCTTCCCAATCTGAAAGAAATCATCATAATTTCTTTTGGTGCTATAAAATTAGTACAAGATGATAGTTATCCAGGAAATATACACAAATCTGGTTACATGCCCTTCTTTTACATTCCCGAGCATGAATTTTTATTGTATTTCTGACTCCCAGATATCTGCCAAACATATATGCCATCATATCATGTTTGTGGGAAAGTACAGTGAAGGGAAAATATGAGAAAAGTCTCTCATTTTTTCTTTTCCTTTTTCTGTAAATCTAACCCGGATTTTTTTTTTTTTTAATAATGAAAGTGTGCCAAGAACAACTGTAAACTAAAGAGCAATATCATAAGAATAACCACTAAAGTTTAGAGATATACATACCATTATATAAATATGCACATCACAAATAATATTTTCTACAAAATCCTCAATATAAAACAAATTTATGACAAGCAGATCAGGAAGGAAAATTTACATATATAAAAGATCCCTCAAAAATAAATCCTCATTGCCCCAAATACATCCAAGTAAAGACATTAGCTTCATGAACAGCTCATGCAGCATATTCAAAGTATATTGCATTTACATTATCAAGAAGTAGTGACATTTTAAATGGATTTGGTGGTGTTAACCCAATGACGCCGGGTGTACAAAAGGAAAATAAAACTCTACGCTCTGGCAAACAAAGGCAGCGCGCCGACTTTGAGCGCCGGAGTACGGGGCGTCAGCCCGAATCACTGGCTCGCCGCGCTTTGGCGCGCCGCCGGCTGGTTTGGCTGCACGCCACCTTTCGAGCGATTTGTTTACACGCGTATCGCCGTCACCCGGCGGCAAGGGGTTAAAGGTGTCTTGATGTTAATGTACTGTAATATCTGGTAAAGTGGAGTTAGAAAAAGGTGCTGAAGTTATTGAAAACAGGATATAAACCCCATAAAGCCATACTAAGGTGTGAATAGTTTCAGTAAAAAAGTGTAAGATATTCAGGGTTCTTTTTAACCAAGATTTATGGAAGGAACAAAATGCAGCATATACGCAGCAGCATCATGCAGGACAACCATATTTTTAAGAGCTTAAGTTAATATATCAAATTGTAAACTCCATAGCATTCCATAATATCCCAGCAGTACAGCTCTAAAAAGTTTATCAAAGTGATATTAGAGATTTTCCTTGTGTTTAGTCATAACAAATAATTATTACTTCTTTTTCTTTTAAAAATATTAAGAATATAACTAAAGTGACATGCAATTTGAGGGAAATGTGCAAGACTTTTAAAGAACAAAATATATACAGGAACAATTCACTGTAAAGATTTTTAAGATTCCTGGATGCATGCTAAGATGTATACTGGAGATATTCATATGATATTAACATGTTCAATGCCATGCTCTTTTATATGGTTTAGTCCTTATAGATATTAGGTGAGTAAAAATGGCTCAGGATTTGAATTAATGTATATGTGCATGGAAGTAAGCGAATGTTTGGACACATGTGAATGTACATATGCATGTGTGTATGTATATGTGCATGTATGCATGTGTGTGTGTGTGTGTGTGTGTGTGTGTGTGTGTGTGTGTGTGTGTGTGTGTGTGTGTGTGTGTGTGTGTGTGTGTGTGTGTGTGTGTGTGTACGAATCTGAAAAAAATAATATCTTCATTTCCCATTAAACCATTCTGTGAATGGTATCATGTTTCAATTATAGCAAAAACTGGTACAGACAACTGTTAACCATCTTTGTGATATGAAATGTTTAATATGAATCCATCCCTGAGAAAAAATAACCTAATTTTATGAGAAATATATACCTGTATTACATTATTTTTGCCTTTCATTTTCTACTAACTTTTAGGTATTTCTATCAACCAGTTTTGCTTGCTATATGCATATCCCTCAATCCTGACACAATGCAATGGATGAGTTTAAAAAATCTTATCTGAATACTGAGACAAGCTTTATGGAATAACAAAAAACATTCCGCATGCCACTACGGAAGAGGCCTGCAGTCCTACGTGTCGTACTCAGTCAGGAACGGGTCTTCTAGCAGCTGGGCCGCAGTCGCCCTCTTATTGGGGTCGGGCTCAAAGCAGCGCAGGATGAAGCTGTGCGCCTTTTCACTCAGTTGTTCTGGGATGTCTGGGTGCATCTTGTATAAGCCAACCTGTGTGGGGAGAGATTGGGCAATGGGAAAGGGGAGAGGGGTAAAAAAAAGGGGTATGATTCAATCTGTTTGTGTCTAAATACTGGCTTTTTCCTTCCAGATTATATTTCCATTTTAGCTATGGCCTACTTTAATTTAATAACGACAATGAAATATCCCTAACATATGAGCATGCTACAATTACAAGGGTTTTTCCAATCAGTTACATTCTTACTTTTGGAAAATGTAGAGATACCATCAGGCCAAGAACTGATTTCACTTAAAGATTTTCCTACATGCTCCCTCAAATATCTGGTGGCTACTTAACATCCCTTTTCCACACTTTTCCATCATATTTCCTATCTATCTATCTATCTATCTATCATGCACGTACATATTTCATGTATAAAACTATATGAGTCCCAAGACTGATGAGTTGCTTATTAACAAATGGACTTAGCAAGTATGATTTATATCCACAATGTCTTAAGATTACATTTTATTCTGTCCTTACCTTGAACATGGCTGCCTCAGGAGAGCCAAGCTCTATGAAAGGAGGTTTCCCTGTTGCCATTTCCACAATTGTGCAGCCGAGTGACCAGATATCTGCCTAAAATACAAAAACAAAATAAATGCATAATCATACAAACATACATAAATTAATACATTCATTCTATAAAAATGGGAAAACAACACACATAAAATACAAGTTATATGAGAAAGAAACAGTGATAAAAAATGTACTCAGCAGGCAGATAGCATATATATCGTAATACTAACTGGAGCTCCATATCCTCTGGCTCCCTTGTCAATGACTTCTGGAGCCATGTACTGTAAGGTGCCTGTGAAGGTCTCTGTGCTCAAGCACACTCCAGCCAGACGTTTTGAGGTACCAAAGTCTGAGATCTTGACAACTCCCGTGTAAGTATTGACTAGAACATTATCACCTGTGGAATTAAATGCCTGTTAGTGCACCATGTGAAAAATGGCATTTAAATGAAAATTAATAATTATTTTATAAAATAACATAAATATAAATAGGTGACAAATATATGAAGTAATGGACAAACACAGGCTATTTTTCTCCCTTGATATCACAAACAAACAATTACAAAAAATCTTACCTTTAATATCCCTATGAACTATTTTCTGATCATGCAGATACTTCAAGCCTTCCAGGATCTGCTTTGTGTAGTAGGCAATAGTTGCTTCGTTTTCCTTGAGGGGCCCCCACTTTGACCGAAGCAAAGCAGAGAGAGACCCTCCCGGAACCTGCTCCATGAAGATCTTGAAGAAACCATCTTCCGACACTGTCCCGAGGTACTGCACAATGTTACGGTGGCGGAGCTCAGAGTGGAGCTTGATTTCTTCATGCAAAGGTTGGACTTCCCTAAAGAGAGATAGGAAAAAGACATTAATAAGCAATGTATAAATAACAATAATAGTGATATAATATGTAGGCATTAATAAAAACCAATGAATAAATGAAAAGGTACTAATAATCAAACATTAGATAAGAACCATCATATACATAGTGCAGTGGTCATTGTAACTGTAAAAATACACAAAAATAACTGTCTCAAGCTCAAAGAGATTACATTACACTATACAAGTATTGCAGGTATAAAAACATCAATATCTAAAATTGTTTTTACATGGGAACAACAAAAATATTCATTGTTTGAAAAAAGACTTCTTAGCAGTTTTACTCACCCTATATTTTTCTCTGGGACTTCCTTCACAGCAATTCTGACTTGTGTGTTCAGATCTCTTGCTGCATACACTACACCATATGTACCTTTTCCTAGTATAAGGCGCTTTCCACTATCTTCTAATTCGTATTCATACTGTGATAAAGAGTTCAAGAATTTAATAAATTCTCAAATCCTGTTCAGGCACTGAATAAAAAATAATTCTACCTTATGTAACAGATCTAAATTATCATGTAACATTGTGTAAATCATACTAATCAAAGTGCAGTTCCATACCAACTCTATATTAGCAGAAGACTAAAAAAATAAATAAATAAATAAAAATAATAATAACAATAATAAAAAAAAAAATCCATAACACTGTCAATTGCAAAAATATCTAAGAATACAATATCTGGGACAAACCGAAGGGCAGGTCACATGGGGCTAACACACATACCTGAATGGGCCCGGAGGAGAACTCTGCTTCCAGGTCCATGACAGTCCCCTTCTGGTTGGCTGTCAGCTCTAGCACCAATCGGAAGAAGATCTGTCGGCACTGCTCTGATGGGAAGAACATCTGGAAGTCATCGGAGTTTTCTTGCACATATAGGAACACTGCACGCTCATCCCGTTTGTACAACCTGGAGGAATACAAAAACTGATAAATTTCAAGTTTAATTTCCACAAAGGGGTTAAGTAATAACACTGATAAATGTAATCTGAGAAGGAAGAATTATAGTGTCACCGAAACTATATGCACTTCCTTACGTTATTGACTTGATGCTGCTGGCTGTGAAGAGCCACTCATGAACACGTCTACATATTCCCTTCATTCTGTCAATGCAGAGATTTGAGAGCTGGATGCTTTTCTCTTCAGCTCCAAGGTTGACAGTCACATAGCTGGGCAAATAATAACTTGGCTGGTACATCCCCGTTGGTTCCAATATCAGAATCTGTGAATGGAATCGGGTGTAAGACAATCTTTTAACTTATGCAGCAAGCATTTTTCTCAGAATTTTTATGTTTATCCTATAAAAAAAAAAATATACATTAACTTAAAAATATACTACACAACAATAAAGGAATCCTTGACTGCTAAGGACAAAACTCGCTTATTCCTCACCGGGAAGCGGATAACATCCCCCAACTCTGTCTTGGTGCCCTCCACAAAGTAGTCAATCCAGAAATTGAAGATGTTCTCTTCTGGAGTTGGCTCATTGTCTTCTGATCGCTTCCTGAACCTATTGATGAGCATGATGTTGCCGATGGTGGACTTTAAGTACCTGGGGGATGGCATGGAATTTTCATTACATCAACCTTAATATGGAAAAAAAAAAAAACATATGGACAAATATATACAAATGGTGGAAATAATAAATGAATAACTCAAAGACACTAGTGGGGGAATGGGGCTCCACCTACACACACAAAAATCAAATAACAACAAAGGCACACCCACCAATTGGGAGGCTTGAGCTTAAACATGCACTCCGCTGCCTGGATCGCCTTGCCATAGTCTTCTGCCAGCACACTGATCTCGA